CACTTCCGAGACCAGGCCGCCAGGGCGTCCAAATCCTGCTGGAGCCTTCTGCGGCCGATCTCGGTGCCCGCTCCGACGTACACCTTCGTGTCATCAGCGAAGAGCTTGCATGCGCTCTCTACGCAGCCAGGTAGGTCGTTGACAAAAGCGATGAAGAGCACTGGTCCCAAAACTGTGCCCTGCGGGATACCGCTGCCGACTGCGACCCAGTCCGAGAAGCTGCCGTTGACAGTGACCCTTTGCTTTCTCTCTGTCAGGAAAGAGCGAAGCCACTCGAGGAGGCGTCCCCTAACGCCCATGTCGTGGAGCTTCTGGAGAAGACGCAGGTGAGGCACCGAATCGAAGGCGCGTCGGAAGTCCAAGTAGGCGACGTCAACCGGCTCGCCCTCCTCCATCAGCCAAGTCCACTCCTCGAGTGTGCTGAGAAGCTGCGTTGCGCAGGAGCGCCCCGGGCGGAACCCGTGCTGGCATTCAGTTAGCTGGCCTGTCACTGTCATGTGCTCGAACAGGGCGTCACGCACGAGCGACTCCAACACTTTCGCCGTCACGGCCGTCAGGCTGACGGGACGGTAATTGGAAGGATCGCTACGAGGTCCCTTTTTATAAATGGGGACAACTTGACCTAGCTTCCAATCTCTTGGGACTCTTCCGTCTGCCAAGGAGTGGTTGAAGAGGTCTGTCAAGGGACCACACAGGGGGGCAGCCAGCTCGCGCAACACCCTAGGATGGACTGCGTCAGGGCCTGGTGATGCTGCCGGGCGTAGGTCGCGGAGTTTACCCTCCACTTGCCCCGGCGTCACCCGCAGCTCCTCCAACGTTGGGCCTCCATACTGGGGATTCATTGCTGGAACGTCAGCCGGGTCTTCATCCCAGCAGTACACACTGCTGTAAGCTTCCGCCAGAGCCCTAGCTTTAGCTGCGTCCGTGCACGCCATATCCCCATTCTCAGTGACGAGGTCGTCCACTCTTGTTCTGGTGGTCAGGCGGGAGTGCACATAACGCCAAAATGCCTTCGGGTTTTCCGGCAGGTTCTCCACCAGTTGCCGCTCAAAATTCCTGCGGAGACGTCTAACCAGTCCCTTCAACTGGTTCCTGGTTCGAGAGAATCGGCAGTAGTCCAGGGTATCTTGGGTTAGTAGGTATCTCTTCCACATTCTCTTCTTACGGTTCTGCAGCGTCAGGGCCTCGCGCGTCATGTACAGGTTTCGCTTCCTGCCACCTGGGTGCTGCCTAGGGATGCCGCGCTCGCAGATGCCGTCCAGGACTTCTTGAAACGCTCGGTAGTGTTGGTCAACGGTGCAGCCATCAGAGACAGGCCAGGTCGCCTCTCGCGCCATTTGGACCATCGCCCCATAGTCGCCGCGGTGGAGTGCCGGTTTCAGTGTTGTCACTTGCTCGACTTCAGCGTAACACCGCAGGGTGAACGTCAGGACGACGTGGTCGCTACTGCCGAGTGGCGGATGGCTGCGGAGGTCGAGGACCATGCCTTCCTCGTTGGTCAGCACGAGGTCCAGGACGTGCGGCGTCTGTCCGGGGCGGTATCTCGTTGGGGACAGCACGTGTTGAGTGAGGTAGTGGTCCCTAAAGAGTTCTAGAAGCTCGTGCGACCAATGCCCAGTTGGTGCCCTTGAAACCTCAGCCGCCCAGTCGATGTCGGGAGCGTTGAAGTCGCCGGTAATCAGCAGGTGTGTAGGTCGTGAGGCGGCGACGAGATCCAACAGATGGCTCAGCTGGCTGGTTGATTCCAGTGGGCTGGATGGGCTCCTATATATGCACCCAATCAACAGAATGTCGCTGCCTGCCAGACGGATGTTCACCCACAGTTGTTCGCGGAAAGGACTGGCAAGAAACTTAACTTCGGAACAGGGCAAGGAGTCACGAACATAAATGCAGATGCCACGGGGCCTTACAGTACTTAAACATAGAACATCAGGAATGAAACTTAAATAAACTTTGTAACCAGGAATGGCAAGGCGTACAGCAGACACCGCGGAGACCTGGACTTTGGGTAAAACTTCTGCGATGAGCATGATGTCAGGCTCCGTCCCAGCTATCCGCGCACAAAGATCATCACGCTTGTTTAAATACTGGTCGGCGTTGGTGTACAGGATCGACAGTGCTCGTTTCCCACGTGATTGTCATATCCCTTGCGTTTGCCGATCGCCGTCGGTGGCAGCGGTTTCGCCGTCAGCTAGCACACGCCGGTCCCCAGCGCCGCCGTCCGCCGGCACACGCCGGCCGCCATCATCGCTGTCCGCCGGCACACGCCGGCTGCCAGCATCGCTCTCCGACGGCACACGCCGGCCGCCAGCATCGCTGTCCGCCGGCACACGCCGGTTTCCAGCATCGCTGTCCGACGGCACACGCCGGTTTCCAGCACCGCCGCCCGCCGGCACACGCCGGCTCCCGGCACCGCCGCCCGCCGGCGCACGCCGGTTTTCAGCACCGTTGTCCGCCGGTACATGCCGGTTTTCAGCACCGCCGTCCGCCAGCTCGCGCCGGTTTCCAACGTCCGCCGGCAGAGGAGACCCGGGGCCCACCAGACCCTGGCTAGGGGCGGCACCTGCAGGGTGGCCAGCGAGTGGGATGATCTTTCCCCTTCTAATCACCAGGTTTTCTTCACCATTTGCTCTCCTGGTGGCCAGCTCCTGCCGCAGTTTTTTCCCCTGCTCCCTTTCTTCCTTTGTTCTGTCCGGGTTTACATAGATGTTGGAAAATCCTGGGCTGTTTCTCAGCTGTGGCGCCAGCTTGATGATCTCCCACTTGGTCGCTTCAGAGTCCACAGTGGCAATAAGAAGTCTGGGCCTGTCTGGGTTGAATTTGCCAGCCCTGAATGAGTTAGTGATACTGACCTTCAGCCTGAGAGTTTCTCTAAACAAAGCTACCAGTCTAGCCCTGTCAGCTGCCATCCTGTCATCATGAGTGTCCCCCTCGGCCTCTCTGAGGTTGTGCACCACAATATTGCACTTGCGCCTCTCCTTGTCCATGAATGCATCCAGGAAGCTGGCAACCTCCTTGGTTGCCCCTGAGGGCCCACTGTGCTTAGAGCTGCTTGGGAGCTTCTCCATTGTAATTTCAAGTGACCTCTTGACTTCCTGGCACTGACTTTTGACAATGTCTGCATATGTAGCTTTCTGTTTTTCTTGTTCCTTGGTTAGCAGCTTGTGATTGCTCACTATGGCTTTGTTCAGGTTGGTCTGCTCCGTCAGGATCTGGACCTGTTTGGTGCTTGTTTGTTTCAGTGCCTGCATATGGAGCTGCAGTGTTTTCTCAAGTGTTTCGGAGTGTTCCTTGGCTACCTGGATCAGTCTCTCTGTGTGAGACTCCTGCACGTTCATCAGTGTATCCAGCTGCGTTTGGATGGCTGTCTCGAGTTCCCTCAGTTTCTCCTTCACAGTTTTGCAGCAACTGGAGGGGCTGCGGATTAATGGTTTACAGTATGAGCACAGCCAAGACAGGGCCTTGTGCAAACCAGCAACTCTGTATGTGGCTGATGGTACCCCCTGGCAAGCGCAGTGAAACCACTGGTCACACCTGTCACACTGAAGGGCCTCCTCTCTGTCACCTACCACTGCCCCACACTCCTTGGTAGGGCCCCCCTTGCAGAAAGAAGCATCACTGTCAGCAGTGCTCCCTGCCCTAGAACGAGGACCAAAGGGTCTGTAAACTTCATCTGCAAGCTTGTGTACATCTCCGAGCTTCTTGCGTAATTTACTTGGCTGAACATTGAGTGATGTGCCCTCGGATTCAGGTTCGCTCTCTGAGGTATCATCAAAAATCGATGGCTCCCCAGCTGTGATCGCCTTGGGGTCTAACTTCTTGCTCCCTACCCCATCCTTATCTCCCTGAACTATGGTGGCATCACAGTTGACAACACCCTGGCTGGCATCAGAGTCAGCATTTTGGCTTACCTCGGCTCCAGGGGCAGCAGGTGGGGTGTTGGCCACGTTACCGGCCTTGACGTTACCTGTCCCCAGCTTTGGTTTAGATTTCAGATTCCTTTTGTTTTGCTGCCTTGGCATCACCACTGGACTTCCTTCAGATCCACTTCTCTGTTTTTGGCGCTCTTGAGACAGTAATGGCTTGCCACTACTTGGCATGGCTGCGCGCCGATTCATGCGCGCACCTCACGGGTAATTTGAAAAGCTCAATATGATTTACCAAAATTTAGAGATGTTGTCTGTCTTCTAATATTGGTAAACACAGAAATATTATTTCTTAAGCAGTCTTGAATCCACTTCCAAAAACTTGAAGCTTCAGCTTGAAAAATGTCACGCAAACCCAGAGCTCTCCAAAACACGTCCACCCGGGGCAAGGGTCAAGGAAGGAATTCTCGCGCATAGGTATTAAGCTGATTAAAATTTAGACATTTTTTTCCTCGTGGAACAAAGTTACCCACACGGCCCAAAGTTAGACCAAACAACGGTACCTAAATGAATATTGAAGAAACACTGATTATCAATTACTTAGCAGCTTGACTGGAACAGAAGTGAAAGGCCAAGTTGAAGTGGCCAATCAAAATTCTGTACCTCTGAGCGAGTAAGTTATTGTCAAGCTTCCGATATTTGTTTTTACCTTCTGTAAAATTCAAGGCCTGAAATTAACTTCAAAACCAATGCAAGTGGGTGAATTAGAAGAGCTAAATGGGTACTACTTACTCAGAGAACCAAGCAACCGGGCAGACCGGTTCAGAGTTCAAAGACCTGACTTGGACTGGCTGACAAATTGAACCTAGACCTCTCGACACACTTGCACTACCTAGCTTAGAATGAAAGGATAATCAACATACGACATTGATGTTGATCATATGAACCTAGAAGTGCATCACAAGATCAAAAGATATCAAAAATATTTCTAACATACCTACTTATAGGCCCTCCTCCACACACCGCGATGATCTGATTATTTACCTAACAGACACCCGGAATTTTCAGAATTTAGTGATCTCAACTGAAACAGCAGCGCAGTTTATGTCGTATCATTTTTTACATAAATGAAGCGCTTGTTTCATTAAAAATTGTGTTCTAAAATCAAAATTCTGCAAATTTACAACTAAATAGAAAGTATTGACTAATTGCAACCACGAATGGTCCTCCTTTGGTGCATATGATATAAATAAAGAACAATTTTGGAGCCCCGTGTCGACCCAGGGATAAGCGATAAAATGTTAACATGAAAGACACGTACCTATGTCATCTATTGGTGTCTGCTGATAAGAATTCATTAAGATTGTGTAACATTTGATCAAAATAAATGTTGGTCCTGTCTGATATTTTTACACTGTCACTTGTTTCAACCTAATCCACCTTTCTCTTTCAACATCTTGATCTCGCAAGCCATATCAATATAAATTGCAAAAGGTTCTCAAGATGAGGTATGCCCAACTTGTCATGGGTCCTGCTGGAAGTGGGAAGGTAAATATATTTATAACTCTGCATGCCTATATATAATTTACAGAAATAAGCACACAGAAAATTTATTTCGGGTGCGTGTCAGTGTCTATCGAGTCTTGAAAGGTACCTAGTAGCTACTAGCTACCTAACTCACAATTCATAGGCATCATTTTCATTGTCTAGTGGTTGGGCTTTAATTATTTACTTAAGGATACCGATAACAGAAGTAATTCCAGCTTTATCTACTTTCTGCGCCCTCTAAAACTGCAGAAATTGGCAAGCTAAAAAGGTGAGAGGAAAGAACATGTCCTCCTTAGCCTGAAAGTGACACAGCACATCAATACTTACAAATATTTTTTTACACTTAACATTTATAAGTCACTCCAGCCACATGTTTAGTCAGGTAAAGTAAGTCTTCATTATGTAAAGGTCAGTTAAATTAGGTTTTGTTATTCCACTTCCAGTGTACCTGTTTTTAGGAGTAAATGACAGTATGAACAATTTTTTGGTACATATGGTTTGTGACAATATGGTGTGGTTTTTATTAAATTTTAAGCTTTTGGTACAAAAGGGCAATTTCACTATCATTCCTAGCCTATCATGCAAAATAATAGGGCTAATGTAAAAATGTCTTGCAAAAATTCTATTTATATACACTGCTACAAGTGCATGAGGTGAACCTGGTCCTGGACCCAGTTGCTGAGTACCTATGTTGATGTACCTACTGTGACCACCAGCCAATGATGGATGTGCACGAGCTGCTCCACTTGGACAATATCACATGGCTGTGGCCCTGCCAAAAGCTTCAGCAGCTATCCTGGCTGGGCTGTGGCAATAGGTGCCAAAGATGCCTATATAATACAATTCATATGATAGTCGAGCCCCTTAAAACATGATTCCTAGTGTTCTGTGGTGGGAGGGCAATGGCTATTCAATATTCATTGTTTTGTTTGGTACTCAGATAGGTGGGGAAGTAGGGTGTAGGTATCACACCCCTCAATTATGTTGTCATGAGTTTTAGCTGTTGTATAGTTTTATGCCCTTCTGATGTTATTTTGGTCTTTTCGAAATCGACATTTTCATTCCATTCTACCTAATACGTTCTTTGATGTCATTGTTTATCAATACAGGTGTTCAGCACCTTTTCATTTGATCCGACTGGAATCTGTTTACCCAACAGAGCACCTACTGCTCGGCGATGCAGAAGCATGCACAGACAGCGAAGCGGACGGTGCACGTGGTGAACCTGGACCCGGCTGCCGAGTACTTTGACTACCAGCCGACGGTGGACGTGCGCGATCTGATCCACCTGGACGACGCTATGGAGGATGAGGAGCTGCGCTTCGGACCCAACGGCGGACTCGTCTTCTGCATCGAGTGAGCGGCGTACACAGACTCGCAGGGCATATCAAAGTTGTGTAAAACACCATATGGCGCCTTACTATCTGCTCTATGCATTTATAATGCGCTTGCCATTCTAAATGGCAAGCAAATGTGAAACCATATTGTGAAATTTAGCGATCCTTGTGAAAAGGGTTTATTTTATAACCTTACAAAGAGTCCCAAAATCATCCAATCCAATTCGTTCATTACGAAAGAATGCTGATTAGATGGCGCGTCCGTTTACATAGTCTTGCGTCGGTTCATCGCAATTATTCGCAGCTCAGTTCCTAACCCTTGCTCAGGTTTCCCCATGGCACGACGCCATCAATTGATGCTAGATTGATAGCAGAATCCATCCGTCCTATGTCGCACAGATACCTGATGAAAAACATGAGCTGGTTGGAGGAGCAACTCGGAGAAGGTGACGACGACTACTTCCTCTTCGACTGTCCCGGCCAGATTGAGCTCTACACCCACATGGATGCCATGAAGAACATCGTTGACGCGCTGCAGGTTACTAAGCTGCGCAATTTCACGGAGAGATACTGTACTCGGGCCCGTAACGTCCCACTCAGTACCATTTCCACCGAGTGCCGATAATATTTCATCGCCGCAATGCTAGTAGGTACCTAGTTAGTTAAATAACCGTGCAAAGTAGGTAATAGGTATCCATGGTTTGCAACTGATCGTCCATTCTCAGGAAACGGGCCGTTGCGCTACATTCACCGTTGACACGGTCCGATGCAACGCAACCAGCCGGCGAAGCGCTGGTTGAGACTGTTCCCACCATTTCTAGCTCTAACGGATGGTGTTGCGTCGCCAGGCGCTGAACTTCCGAATGTGCGGCGTGTTCCTGGTCGACTCGTCCTTCATGGTCGAGGGCAGTAAGTTCATCTCCGGCACGATGGCAGCGCTCAGCGTAATGGTGAACATCAGCATCCCGCACGTCAACGTCCTAACCAAGATGGACCTCCTCAACGCTGAGTCCCGGAACCAGCTCGAGAGGTAACTGGCGGATGAGGGAACGTTGCCTCTGGTTTGGTGTCTTATCTCATACTAAAATCGATTGGCAAATAAGCCTAAGGCTAAGAATAAAACATCTGGTTGGGACCAAGTATTAGTAATTACCATGAAATATTGAGAGAAAATGGTTCATGTAAGCCGGCTATCGTCGAATGAATAACACACCGATGTCACTATGTCGCGTTTGTCGCCGAGATTCTGGCCGCTGATCCGGGCGCCTGCGGGCAGGTTCGTGGACCCGGACACGCGGCGTCTGATGGACTCGGACGGGTCGCGCTTCTCGGAGCGGTACCGCCGGCTGACGGCCGCGCTGGCGCGCGTGGTCGACGAGTACGGCCTGGTGCAGTACCACACGCTGGACCTACACGACGAGCTGAGCATCGGACAGCTACTGGCCGTCGTCGACAACGCCATCCAGTACGGCGAGGACGAGGACGTGCGCACACACGAGTTCGAGATGCCCGACCCGGACGACGGTGAGGCGGCCGACGAGCAGCTCAGCAGGTACCTGCAGGAACTGTGAGCGGCTCAGGAACTGCAAGAACCGTGAGCGGCTCAGCAGGTACCCGCAGGAACTGAAAATTGGTCCACCAGCATCTCAGCTGGTACCTGTTAGGACTGGTAGCTGGCTGATTAGCGGCTCAGTAGGTCCCTGCAGGAATTGCGAGGATCTCAACAGGTACCTGCAGGACCAGCTATGAGCGATCTGCGAACAGCTCAGCAGATGCCTTCAGAAACCGTGGGCGACCGGCGATCTGCTAAGACATGCGGGAGCTGTGCGCTGCGGTTGCGGCGGTGTGTGACCTGTGATGCAGAGACGAGGCTGAGGCGCCTCGCTGACGACCGGCCAGGACTGTCACCGAAGGCGCCCTTGTGCTGTGAGAAGGATCGGCTGGTAGACGAACAGCGCGGCGTCCAGCAGCTGGCCCGTGGAGTAGACTGTGATTGATAAGTGTTAGAAGGGCGGCGAGCCTCGACTGTCCCGTGACTGGCGCGCACTAGGCGGCGAGTCACTGCAGTGCCATCCGTCGGTATCATCACTGTGTACAAACGCCGCGACGTTTTGTATCTGAGTGGGACGTTTTGATGGGACACAATCAGTGAACATATATAGTGTTATGTATTCGTAGCGCTTACAAGTGAATGGACATGATTTAAGTGTTCACAGCTGGTTTCAAGACTTGCTTGCATCGGTCGTTCGTCGGGCCGCCTGTCGCTGCTTGTGCTGCTGGAGGAAGCTCTGGAACGACTCCGTGTCATCCTCATCGTCCCGCTCTGAAATACAAACGGATCGTCAGTTCAATAATTGTCGGACAGGTCTCACTAGCTATCGGAACTGTCAAAAGACTGGCAAAATACAGGATATATTGTGCCACAGATAACAGTAGTACTGTAGTACTGTACTACTGTTATCTGTGATTGTGCACAAGTTCTAGTTTAAAAAACAGTAATTTCGGTTTTAATCCTTTGAAAGAAGGTGGAGTTAATTATATTGCGGGCGCTTCTTTATCGGCCCTTTTAGTTCGCATTACTTTCTAAAATCTAATTTGAAGATAATATTGCAACTTAAATCACTGGCAAAAGTTGGTTAACCTCATACTAGGTCTAACGATGTAACTGCATAGTTCGTGCCAGCTCCTCGTACCTGTTTCCCCTCACATGGCAGGTCGGGTACCAGCGGTACAGGTGGCGATCCGTCCCTACTTGTGTCCCGCTCCCACCCAGGTGTCGGTCCCTCCCTGCCTGTCCCCGCTCCCCCACCAGGTGCCGGTCCCATCCCTACCTGTCTCCCGCTCCTCCGCCAGGTCGTCGTCGTCGTCGACGCGCGCTGCCGAGCGCAGGGTGACGTCGCTCTCGACGGTGGCCTCGCGGTCCTGCGGCTCGAGGTCGGCCTCCAGCCGCTGCAGGTCGCGCCGCTGCCGGCCGCGCTCGGCCTGGTCGCGCGCCGCCCGCAGCCGCTCGTACTCGGCGCGGTACTCGGTGAGGTACTCGCGCCGAGCGTCGCCGACCAGCTCCAGCAGCCGGTCCAGCCGGGCGCCCGTCACCGCCGATACGCCCGTGCACCTGTCGCAGGCCGCGCGTGCCGACACGGGTGAGTTAGAGGGGTGACAGTGGGTACCTGCCGTGTCACACTATTGTGCAGCAGAGTATAACGTTAACAGCATAGCGGCATTGGAAGTCAGTGTCAGACACTGAAAACGGTTATTTTCGGTTGCGTAAAAATACTAAAGGCACACTTAGTTATGAGGAAGAGACTGTACATTAAAACTGGTCGCGCTCGTAAGTAGAACTGTCCTATATACCAAAATACTATATACTTGCATACAACCCCGAGTATTAACCTGCTAAAACAGCAAAGTATTCAGGTCATCGAGTCGAACTCGCGGGATGTCGGGACCTCTTCCACTGCCTGGAGCCCCGGAGATGTACCGTATCAGATGTCGGCTCACCTGAGGTTGCTGTAGAACTCGTCGAGCACCAGCGACATGGAGTAGGTCAGGTTGGTGGCGTACGAGCTCTCCGAGCGCAGTGCCTCGTCGAACGCCTCAAAGTCGCGCATCCACTCCTCGGCGTAGCTGCTGTCGACCACGTCTGTCTGATGGAAGCCAACCGGGCCGGCGGTCAGACTCACGGAGAGCCGCGAATTTTGGGACTCTTTGATATCATTTGCCCGCGCGGTGAGGCTGTATCACTGAATGATGACGTTCCTTCACTACCAAGGAATCGCTAGCCGCTAATATGAATACACGCATACGGGTCGAGACGCAGGACTGTGTCCTGACGCGGTTTGAGGTAGCAAGCAAAATCGATTTGACGTTTGCAAGTTGCGTTTTCTGGAAAAAAGGCCCTTGCAACCATAAGAAACTTCGAAATTAAAATTTCTGAAACAGGGAGGATTCTTACCTTGTTTAGAGCGACGACGAAAGGCAGCCGCGTCTTGTAGAGGATGGAGCAGGCGTAGAGCATGTTGGACATGAAGGTGACGGGGTTGACGCTGCGCACCGAGTCCATGACATAGACGATGACGGTGGGGAAGCTGGCTGCCAGTGCCTCGGTGATGATGGAGCCCGACGCAGACCACGTGAACACCTGCAGCAGCGAGGTGGTCGGTAACACGCGCACACAAACTGCCAGAGCAGTGAGAGTCCCACATACGATATACCAGGTTGGGTTTGGGCAACCGAAAAAAACGCAGCTGTCAATAAAGGGCCCAAAACAACAAGGACTATTTACAAAACTTTGGCAACACCACCATCTATTCTACACATTATATAAGGCAGCAAACCCAAGTAATTGTATGACTCAGTGAAGCCAAGAAAGCCAGTCCACTGTCAATAGTACGATGGCGTCGTCAGTGTGCACGCCGGTCTGCCAGCTCACCTCGATCTGCCCCGGAGTGTCGATGATAACGTACTCGTGCTGGTCCTGCCGCTTGTCCAGCAGGCCCAGCAGCTGGTCGAACTGCGTGGCGAACAGGTTCAGCGAGGTCACGATGCCGCCGTTCGGTCCCAGGCCGTACTGCTTCATCACGTCCTTGTACTTGACTGTGTCCCGAATATCTGTCAAACGAATCAGGTGGCCAATTTTAACAAAAGAAAAGCTGTACAGAAAAATACTTTTGACTGGGGGTTTAGTTTGTAGAACGAAATACATTCAACTTGGAGTTGTGAAAGAGCACCATTAAAATTCTGAGTGAAACTTTCATTTTTTTAAACTTACCTTAACATGAATATATTGCTTGAGAAAAAAAATCAACAGATTAAATGCTAACAACAAATATTTCAAGGTCGGCTTATGTGTTTTAATAATTATGCAATAAAATGCCTAAATTTCTAGTTACCTATGTTAGCAGGATAGGGCATCTCAGCACATGCTGGGTCTAGGTTTATCACATAAGGTGCTGGTTTCTTCTCATACAGATATGATGTTACTTTCTGTACCAGCGTTGTCTTTCCAGAGCCAGCCATGCCAAGGAATATGAGGCAGGTAGGCTTCTTGCTGAAATCGCCACTGGCTTTAGCATTATCAGACGAATCAGTAGAGGATGGACACTGCTGAGAGTCTGCTGCATTTGAAGGAGCAGCACCAGCAACTCCTGCTGATTCATTCTCTGGCACACTACTTGCATTCATCCTGGAGACCCCAGCTTCTGCCATTTGCAACACTTGAAATATCTAGAACAAATTAAGAAGAGACCCCAGCCTGAAAAAAAATGCATAAGTATACAATTTAGGAACTGTTTTCCATATGTACATGCACAAAAACTACAATTGTGGATAACACTTAACAACTTCAATAAATTAACTATTTATTGATTTGAGGATTAAAGGTGAGTTATTTGCATGTTCAGAATGCTTCTTCCCTAAACCAATTTCACTAAAAACAGTAGTTCTTAAGTCCAATGTGACAAAATGTAGATAGCAACAATATTATTATAAAGTATAAACAACTCCTCCTTTAAGCAAACAGACCTTTACCCCAGGGAGAGGAGTTTATTTTTAGCCCCTTGCCATGCCCTATTGGATGAAGTTCAGGTCAATGCTGATCAAGGTCAGGCCAGGTGAGGTCAAATTTCAAGTCTCAAGGTTGACTTAACTGGCATTGAGCTATAGCTTTTAGATCATATTTGAGCGAAACAGGAAGGAGCAGATTCTGCCCCAGCAGAGTGGGTGGTAGAAGAGCAAAAGACCTATCAAATACATTTTCTGCAAAGCTGTAGCTTCCTTGGTTCAAAAGCCATGTGCATTATAGGGATGACCGAGATTTTCGAATTTGCAATTTCAGTTCGGCTCACCTTTTTTCCTATGTAAAATTGAATTTTAAGGTTGGATGTCCTTTTGCAATTTTTTGATAAAAACACTCCTTTCGTAGTAAATTTGCACATTTGTATTTAACCCTCGCCGGACCTATTGGTTTTCTATACGCGCCCCGGCCGAGAATGAGAGGTTGGTACGACCCCCCTCGCCGTTTCGCCCCTAATTGAGCTAGAGCCTTGGGGAAAGAACGAGCGTGTACGCCGTTACGAGACGCAGCGATTGGTACCCGATTTTAAGGCCTGGGATTATCTGGTGACCTCTGAGGTCAGGTCAAGTGGCGCAAGACCGGTTCGGTTTTTGGTGAATAACTTCGCTCAAAATGGTCGCAGAGCCGCGATTTTGTCAGCATCGTGTTTTGCTATATCAGGCGCGTCGAATGGTATACTTTTTGTTCGGGTGAGAGTAAGTTACGGTGTTGACCTCGGGTCAAGGTCAGGTCAGGTCCCCTCAGGCCACGACCTTGATCAAAAGAGGTAATGTTGCATATCATTCGATTCGGCAGGTCTTCCTGAGTCCATTCGTTACTTTTGCGACTCGCTAACTCAATTTGATCGGGAGTTATTGACGAAAAACTCATATCACCTTAGGTATTTGATACACCCTTTATTTGGCTCATCACAAAACAGGATGGAATGAGGGCAAGTGGTGATATTACGTAGTTTGTTCAGCATTTGCATAACCTTTTCCTCTCAGTTTGTTTCGCCCTTCCTACAGCAACTTCTTCGACTCTTCTCCCAAAGCTTCTCCTGTTTCACCGTGAGACTCTTCTCCTAGATGATCACTGGACTGGAGGGCTGAATCTTGCATTGGATTTCAGTCACTGCGCCAGGATAAGCGGAACCAGCTCCTTCACGATGTCTCTCACACCAATCTTCTTTCTCGCTCTTTCTTTTTCGATCATCAGCTGTTCCTGAATCAAAACTCCTCTTTGCAACACAGCCCTTACGGCTGGTACCTACCTACTTCATTCTGGATGCCGCCAGATGCCTTCCTGATGGTTCGTTTGACCTAAGCATCCATCTACGTTTAGCTTTTGGCTATCTGCTTGAATTATGGGCCCTGATGGAATATAAAAAGGCATCAGAAGTCGCGGAACTCGGATGAATGGAAACCGCCAAATCGCTAGTTACTGATCCCATTGACATGTTTAATGTTTAATTCTTAGTACCCATCTACGCTGGAGTACGAAAAACATCATCTCACGTTCTCACACTTAATGTTTAATTGTTCAGCTATATTCCTTCAGTGCACTTCGATGGTGATTGTTGGTAGACAATTGCAAACAAAATTGAATGCAATTGATTTGAATGATAATTTTGCATCAGCTGAAAAGTCAATTGCATATTTTGATAGAGTTCTTTCAACAGATTTGGGTACTAACCTTAACACCAGCATTGACATGTGCCTTTTCACGCCTTTTCACTATATGCTACTATATAGTAGGAAAAGTTATTCAAGGGCATAGTTATTAGCTTGCATCCAACGAATTGATATCGCTTATATGTAGCTACCTGTAACGATATGTGTGAACAGCCAATCAGTGCCATTGTATTGTTCCTGCCGAGGGAGAGGCTTTAGTTGCCAATGCCTCTGGCAAGATTCAGCAATTCTGGAAGAGTTTAAATTGATCTGAAGAGCAGCTTCACCTGTTTCGTAGGTAATAGGTTTTGCAGCCACCGGTATTCCATCCAACCTGATTCTTTAGACTCGTACGCCGTATGATGAGGTTTCGAAGCAAAAGACCATTCATCGATAAGAAAGAGGAGGTACGGAACTGATGTTGCAAATATACCACTAACATCTGACATGATCTGGAAACAGCTCCCATAAAACTCCCATAAAACTACTTTTTACTACGGAAGATGTATCCTGATCAATTTTTGTCTCATGTAAGACCCCATCTAAAATTCAATTTTACATAGGAAAAATAGTGAGCCAAAGCCGAAATATGAAATTCGTCCAATTTGAAGTAATCTCGGTCAGCCCTAATGTGCAAGTCCATGAAAAATGGCAAAATCGGGAAAATGGGTGCTTGGGCTATGGCTGCCACAAAATCTAAGGGAATGCGCCAAAAATGACATACAGCATTGAATGCAGGCAGGACAAAACACCAAGAATAAAACAGACTTTCTGCAGCCAGGAAATTACACCCAAGAGCCTAAAGCAAAATGCATGCACTAATTGTATGCACCTACCCCATACAATTGATGCGAGCAGAATTTAGCTTAATGCATTTGAAAAGCATCTCACATGGAATTTCCTGAATACAGAAAGAGTCTGTTTCAGCCTTTAATCCCTAAACAGCTTGAACTGTACAAAACATTTAATTGCAAACCCTAAAAAAATATACCTATAAGAAAATGGGACAACCAGACTTCAATGTGAATAACATTAATTACAACAAAAAATACATGAAAATGGGACAAATTTTCAATGTAAATAGCAATATTAATTACCCTGACCTAGCAGCCAGGAATTTTTCAGAGGGGTGTTCACAGGCACCGCACACTGCTGCGTGCGGTGCGTCCAGCAGGCGTGCGGGTAGGGGATGGGTAGGCGGTTCTGACGTCATGGCTGCGTGCAGCGGACGGTCCGCTGTGGCCTGTCACGACCGGCCACAGCGACCGCTGTGTGCAGTGACGTACGGACGCAGTGGGCGGAGCTTTGAGGCTGTGTGCGGTCCGACCGCAGTTGCACACAGGGCCCGTGAACAGCCCTCAGGATTATTGGAGCAAAGTTTGAGTATAGCAATCAGGTGCATTCTATGCAGCAACCAAATTCAAATTCAAATTGAAAAAAATCTAATTGAATTCGTATCGACAGCAACCCATACCTACCCAATAAGCCCTGATGCAAACCCACAGACACAGTGCATATAATCACCACGGTATATTGTTATAGAGAGAGATCTAAATAAATGATAACTGACAAGAAGGCCGTATAATAGAATAATTTAAAATTACATATAGTAGATAAATACGGAAAAACCGAAATACCGCCCCGCACGATGTAACGGAAGTTGGCACAGATTCAGCACAGATTCAGCACAGCACAGATTCGGTAGGGGGAAAAAAGGCCCCGGTAGAGGGAAACCTTTATGACCCGTTTTCCCCTAGAAATGACGTCACAAAGAGGTAAAAATGGGTATCAATCGAAAGCTCTCGTTTACCCAGACACAGTCCTGCAGGTAAATTCCACTTTTTCCCCATAGGAAAGTTTTTACGGGAAAATCAAAATTTTGGGTCAATGGGGGGTCCCCCCCGATTTCGTTCAAAATCGGCACACAGGTGCCCCACCACCAGCCGAGAAACTTTCCCCAAAACGGTCCCCGTTGCATTGACGTTTAAGGCCCGTAAAGCCCCCTAGACTCGTAAAATATCCGTAAAATCACCTTTGTACGGACTAAAAAGTGGTGCTATGGTAAAAATGGGTATCAATCCAAAGCTCTCGTTTACCCAGACACAGTCCTGCAGGAAAATTCCACTTTTTCCCCATAGGAAAGTTTGTACGGGAAAATCAAAATTTTGGGTCAATGGGGGGTCCCCCCCGATTTCGTTCAAAATCGGCACACAGGTGCCCCACCACCAGCCGAGAAACTTTCCCCAAAACGGTTCCCGTTGCATTGACGTTTAAGGCCCGTAAAGCCCCCTAGACTCGTAAAATATCCGTAAAATCGCCTTTGTACGGACAAAAAAGTGGTGCTATGGTAAAATTGGGTATCAATCGAAAGCTCTCGTTTACCCAGACACAGTCCTGCAGGAAAATTCTACTTTTTCCCCATAGGAAAGTTTGTACGGGAAAATCAAAATTTTGGGTCAATGGGGGTCCCCCCCGATTTCGTTCAAAATCGGCACACAGATGCCCCACCACCAGCAGAGAAACTTTCCCCAAAACGGTCCCCGTTGCATTGACGTTTAAGGCCCGTAAAGCCCCCTAGACTCGTAAAATATCCGTAAAATCGCCTTTGTACGGACAAAAAAGTGGTGCTATGGTAAAAATGGGTATCAATCGAAAGCTCTCGTTTACCCAGACACAGTCCTGCAGGAAAATTCCACTTTTCCCCATAGGAAAGTTTTTACGGGAAAATCAAAATTTTGGGTCAATGGGGGGTCCCCCCCGATTTCGTTCAAAATCGGCACACAGGTGCCCCACCACCAGCCGAGAAACTTTCCCCAAAACGGTCCCCGTTGCATTGACGTTTAAGGCCCGTAAAGCCCCCTAGACTCGTAAAATATCCGTAAAATCACCTTTGTACGGACTAAAAAGTGGTGCTTTGGTAAAAATGGGTATCAATCGAAAGCTCTCGTTTACCCAGACACAGTCCTGCAGGAAAATTCCACTTTTTCCCCATAGGAAAGTTTGTACGGGAAAATCAAAATTTTGGGTCAATGGGGGGTCCCCCCGATTTCGTTCAAAATCGGCACACAGGTGCCTCACCACCAGCCGAGAAACTTTCCCCAAAACGGTCCCCGTTGCATTGACGTTTAAGGCCCGTAAAGCCCCCTAGACTCGTAAAATATCCGTAAAATCACCTTTGTACGGACAAAAAAGTGGTGCTATGGTAAAAATGGGTATCAATCGAAAGCTCTCGTTTACCCAGACACAGTCCTGCAGGAAAATTCCACTTTTTCCCCATAGGAAAGTTTGTACGGGAAAATCAAAATTTTGGGTCAATGGGGGGTCCCCCCCGATTTCGTTCAAAATCGGCACACAGGTGCCCCACCACCAGCCGAGAAACTTTCCCCAAAACGGTTCCCGTTGCATTGACGTTTAAGGCCCGTAATGCCCCCTAGACTCGTAAAATATCCGTAAAATCGCCTTTGTACGGACAAAAAAGTGGTGCTATGGTAAAATTGGGTATCAATCGAAAGCTCTCGATTACCCAGACACAGTCCTGCAGGAAAATTCCACTTTTTCCCCATAGGAAAGTTTGTACGGGAAAATCAAAATTTTGGGTCAATGGGGGTCCCCCCCCCGATTTCGTTCAAAATCGGCACACAGATGCCCCACCACCAGCAGAGAAACTTTCCCCAAAACGGTCCCCGTTGCATTGACGTTTAAGGCCCGTAAAGCCCCCTAGACTCGTAAAATATCCGTAAAATCGCCTTTGTACGGACAAAAAAGTGGTGCTATGGTAAAAATGGGTATCAATCGAAAGCTCTCGTTTACCCAGACACAGTCCTGCAGGAAAATTCCACTTTTTCCCCATAGGAAAGTTTGTACGGGAAAATCAAAATTTTGGGTCAATGGGGGGTCCCCCCGATTTCGTTCAAAATCGGCACACAGGTGCCCCACCACCAGCCGAGAAACTTTCCCCAAAACGGTCCCCGTTGCATTGACGTTTAAAGGAAATAGTTCACTTTTTAACATGGGTTTTGAACTGGAATAGCAGTTCCGTAGCCTGGGCTGAGACGAGCATAAATCAGGAGCTTTTACAGCCCAACGATCACCCTAGGCAAATATATTCTATTTCTCGTCCCGAAAAATGTGTCTTGCGTTGAGGATGTGTGCCTTGCATATATTCGCATCCAGTATGAAACGAGCATGGGTACCGAAAATTCTTCAGAAACTAGAGAAATTATCTACGAGAACTCTAGAGAAATTCTCGTACTGATCAATAAGGACATTCAGCAGCAGCAGATCGCCCAAATGCCGGTGGCCGCGATCATTTCTCTAGTTTCTGAAGAATTTTCGGGACCCATGCTCTTTTCATACTGGATCGCCTGTGCCTTACAGAAACTGAAAAGTTCTTCTTATTATCAAAATATAGAAAATAATCTTTTGTTATAAATAGGTTTTATTTTCTTTGCTGATCATTTTGAACATAAAAAATCATAAATCCATTGCAAAAAAATAATTTCGTGAAAGTGAACTATTTCCTTTAAGGCCCGTAAAGCCCCCTAGACTCGTAAAATATCCGTAAAATCACCTTTGTACGGACAAAAAAGTGGTGCTATGGTAAAAATGGGTATCAATCGAAAGCTCTCGTTTACCCAGACACAGTCCTGCAGGAAAATTCCACTTTTTCCCCATAGGAAAGTTTGTACGGGAAAATCAAAATTTTGGGTCAATGGGGGGTCCCCCCCGATTTCGTTCAAAATCGGCACACAGGTGCCCCACCACCAGCCGAGAAACTTTCCCCAAAACGGTCCCCGTTGCATTGACGTTTAAGGCCCGTAAAGCCCCCTAGACTCGTAAAATATCCGTAAAATCACCTTTGTACGGACAAAAAAGTGGTGCTATGGTGAAAATTGGTATCAATCGAAAGCTCTCGTTTACCCAGACACAGTCCTGCAGGAAAATTCCACTTTTTCCCCATAGGAAAGTTTGTACGGGAAAATCAAAATTTTGGGTCAATGGGGGGTCCCCCCCCGATTTCGTTCAAAATCGGCACACAGGTGCCCCACCACCAGCCGAGAAACTTTCCCCAAAACGGTTCCCGTTGCATTGACGTTTAAGGCCCGTAAAGCCCCCTAGACTCGTAAAATATCCGTAAAATCGCCTTTGTACGGACAAAAAAGTGGTGCTATGGTAAAATTGGGTATCAATCGAAAGCTCTCGTTTACCCAGACACAGTCCTGCAGGAAAATTCCACTTTTTCCCCATAGGAAAGTTTGTACGGGAAAATCAAAATTTTGGGTCAATGGGGGGTCCCCCCCCCCGATTTCGTTCAAAATCGGCACACAGATGCCCCACCACCAGCCGAGAAACTTTCCCCAAAACGGTCCCCGTTGCATTGACGTTTAAGGCCCGTAAAGCCCCCTAGACTCGTAAAATATCCGTAAAATCGCCTTTGTACGGACAAAAAAGTGGTGCTATGGTAAAAATGGGTATCAATCGAAAGCTCTCGTTTACCCAGACACAGTCCTGCAGGAAAATTCCACTTTTTCCCCATAGGAAAGTTTGTACGGGAAAATCAAAATTTTGGGTCAATGGGGGGTCCCCCCGATTTCGTTTTTTTTTGTCCGTACAAAGGCGATTTTACGGATATTTTACGAGTCTAGGGGGCTTTACGGGCCTTAAACGTCAATGCAACGGGGACCGTTTTGGGGAAAGTTTCTCGGCTGGTGGTGGGGCACCTGTGTGCCGATTTTGAACGAAATCGGGGGGGACCCCCCATTGACCCAAAATTTTGATTTTCCCGTAAAAACTTTCCTATGGGGAAAAAGTGGAATTTTCCTGCAGGACTGTGTCTGGGTAAACGAGAGCTTTCGATTGATACCCATTTTTACCATAGCACCACTTTTTTGTCCGTACAAAGGCGATTTTACGGATATTTTACGAGTCTAGGGGGCTTTACGGGCCTTAAACGTCAATGCAACGGGAACCGTTTTGGGGAAAGTTTCTCGGCTTGTGGTGGGGCACCTGTGTGCCGATTTTGAACGAAATCGGGGGGGACCCCCATTGACCCAAAATTTTGATTTTCCCGCACAAACTTTCCTATGGGGAAAAAGTGGAATTTTCCTGCAGGACTGTGTCTGGGTAAACGAGAGCTTTCGATTGATACCCATTTTTACCATAGCACCACTTTTTTGTCCGTACAAAGGTGATTTTACGGATATTTTACGAGTCTAGGGGGCTTTACGGGCCTTAAACGTCAATGCAACGGGGACCGTTTTGGGGAAAGTTTCTCGGCTGGTGGTGGGGCACCTGTGTGCCGATTTTGAACGAAATCGGGGGGGACCCCCCATTGACCCAAAATTTTGATTTTCCCGTACAAACTTTCCTATGGGGAAAAAGTGGAATTTTCCTGCAGGACTGTGTCTGGGTAAACGAGAGCTTTGGATTGATACCCATTTTTACCATAGCACCACTTTTTAGTCCGTACAAAGGTGATTTTACGGATATTTTACGAGTCTAGGGGGCTTTACGGGCCTTAAACGTCAATGCAACGGGGACCGTTTTGGGGAAAGTTTCTCGGCTGGTGGTGGGGCACCTGTGTGCCGATTTTGAACGAAATCGGGGGGGACCCCCCATTGACCCAAAATTTTGATTTTCCCGTAAAAACTTTCCTATGGGGAAAAAGTGGAATTTTCCT